CTTCACCCGCGCTCACTTTCCGTGCGCCTCCCGCCGGGTGCTCAGTTCTGTTGTACTTGTGGGGCGAGCCAGTGCACTGGGGAAGCTTTGCAGTTTGGTTTACTTTGCTCGCCAGGAGGTATCCCCCGGTCTCTGAGCATATACGCCAAACAAGCCTCAGAGCAGAGCCCGAAGCATCGTAAGGTCAGAGTAAAATATTTAATGAATAAATGGACGACTGTTCCCAGGTGGTGGCAGGAAGCCGATATTTGATAGTTTTCCTGGTGATCTGTATGGAAATTCTGTAGTGCTCTTAATTTTAGTAGCATTTGCCTTATGCTAGCAATGGTATTAACTTAGTTTGCTGTTATTTATTGCTAACCTTAGGTGTTGCTGATACCTAGTACTATATGCTAGCACCTCCTCTGAAGACTTTACTGGTGTCCCCACAATCTTAAGCAGCAATTACCATAATTAACTCTGTCTACACGGAGGAAACTCAGGCTCAGGGAGATTGACTTGCCCAAGGTTACACACCCTGGTGGGGGGAAACTGAATGGTATTGGAAACCCAAGATGTTTGACTCCAAAGCCTGGTATTGAACCATCACTGTGCAGACTTTGTGGTCATTAATATAACATTGATATCCTCCATACTATGCAAATGAGGGTATTGTGGTTGGGGGGGACTCAGTCAAGTTTGCTAACATTCATTTCTTCAACAAAAAGTCTTAGTGTCTGCATTATATGCCAGGCTGGGTGGATATTGTGTTTGGGAGAGCTGGTACAAAGTTGAAACATAGTTATGATTTGAAGGAGCTCATAGTTTTGGGAGAGGCAGAAAAAAAAAGGCTAATATATCCTACACTGTTGGAGATATGGATACACTAAGTGCCCAAGAGCAGGGAGACCCCCAGCAGCCCCGGGCTCAGAGAGGTTGCTCAGGGAAATGACAAGAGTAAAAAGAGAAGAGGTTGGGGACTTGAGCCAAACCGAGAAGGAAAGAGGAAATCCAATGGAGTGGTATCAGAATCCAAGGGAACAGAGTATTTTAAGAGGAAGTGGGCTCCAGGGTAAAACACAGTTTCCATTGGTTTTGGCAAAGAAGCTGGTTTTATAAATATTGAAGTTAGTTTTAAGTGGTGCTGGCTAAAGCCAATTATACTGGGAGACCTTAACCAGAGACACTTGTTCAATTCACTTGGCTGTGAAAAGAAGGTGAGATAACAGGATAGTTGCTAGAGTGGAAAGTGGGGGTTGAAAGAGGATTTTTTGGTTTGTTTTTATTTGAAAGCTGGGACAGACTTAAGCATGCTTGTTATATTGA